GGAAAGAGAAGGACACGATGGATCTGCGCAGAGGCCAAATTGTGCCTCTTTCTGGTCTCACACTGCATACCCAATGCCAGTGAGCTCAGGTGATAGTAGCAAGCTATAAGGAAGAAGAAAGAAACAGCCCCCAGGAGATTTAGAGGCCCGTAGAGAATTTCTAGGATACCTCTTAGTTCTGGCAGTCTATACACGCAGATGAAACCTGGCCCACTAGCTGCAGTGGATAATAATCCAGATCTTCTGTTTAGGTGCTAAGCCTCCAAGTGAAATCAGTGACTTATGGAGACTGAACAAAGAACCCATTTACACCAGTGTAATCAGCCCTCACCTTGGTGAAAGAGGAGTGCGTAGGTGATGGACACAAAAGTCATTTACTTGCATCTTGTATATAGCATTATCCCAGGAAAAATCAGGGATGAAACTGCACGGTGTTAGTGACACTGGTATAAGACTAATCTGTTCAAAGCTTACCCCAGGGTCCCATTCTGCTCAAGGCAAACAGGCTATTTCCTGCTCCCCCACCACTGTGGCAAGGCACCGAAATAACCACCAACTGTATGAGCTACCCTGAGATAGCTGCTTCTCGCCCTTCCATATCCTGGTGTAATTAGCATTGGTCCACAAAATAGAGGTGAATCATACCAGTATAAGTGTGTCATCTAGCCACCTCTTGGACACCTCACTAGTTTGGAAACTCTGACCCTGCATGTGTGCATAGCCCACATTTACCCCCAGTGCTGCCTGATTTTCTCCCGGGCTAATTGACCCAAGTCAGAAAGGGAAAAACGTGATTTGAACTAGTGTTGAAAGCTGACCTTCCTTTTCAGTGGCTGAAGAGTTTAATGGGTTAATGCAGAGGGAGGGAAGTGCTTTCAGATCAGACTGCCGTACTTTGGCTAGGTGATCAATGAATTCCTAGGAATGACCTACTCAGGTCTGACATCTTTTCAACTAGTCCCAGTATCCCACTAGCCTGAGATGAATGGATTTGATGAGATCATGGGTCTGGGCACACAAATGCCTTAAGACAGGCACAGGCAATCAGGCCTCATAGTAGAGAAGATATCTTTTATTAGACCGACAAGATTTTTTGCAAAAAAAATGTCTTTAATTGCAAGCTTTCAGGCACAAACACCCTTCATCAGGCATTGGAGAAAAGATAGTGAAAGTTCTCCTGGGTAGAAATGAATGGAAGTTCATATTTCATAAGATTTCACAGAGGAGTCAATAGATGGAAAACTCCTCTGGGCAGTCAGTTCACTTAAGACAGATGCCACTTTTATCCAACTGTGCACCAGTGTAAGCTGCACCAGTTTCCAGAATGGACAGTCAGCCTCTCTCCCAGGTTAACTCCTCTGGTTGCGCTGTTAGAGATTATTGCCACTATATGGAGGGAGAGCTTGTAGTAGCCTATTTGCATTGAGCAGACAGCTACCTGGAGGGGGGTAGATGCAAGACACCTGGATCAGCTGCACTTACACCAATGTAGCTTTAGCTCTGAGTTTTTCCAGATAACTCTGCACTGAGTTTTAACAAGTTACCCCAGTGTAGGGCTACATCATATGTCTGCTCCTTGCTGACAATGGTATAGTTATGTTGGTGCGTGTCCTGGCCCAAACAGCCACTGAAGAAATCAGCATTTTAGCTAGCGGAGGTGCCTCACAGAATGCTTCGTCTTGCAGATCTCCATCCACCTCCAAGCCAATGTAGGCTCCTTCTGAAACTGTCTTTGGCTGGCAACTTTCTCCTGGCACTGGTGGTGACGGTGCTGAGCATGAAAGGTGAGTCGGTCGAGGTGCTCTACCTGTTTGTACCAGTGTGCGCTGGGGTAGATCCTGCTCTGTCCCTGCACAGCTCCACCTTGATTCTGCTCCGTGCACAGCAAATGACTGGACCTCATCCCTGCCAAGGTGTGGTGTAACACGGCCAACATTCAGATGAAGCTGGAGTTGGGACATTCAGGTGACCCAAAGGAAGGGAACTTCATCTTGCCAAGCACTGCTGCCCCTTTGGCCTGAGTTGTTAGCAAGCTTGTTTCCTGTTGGGAGGAAAAATCAGTGATACCAGCTGGGTGGTTTCTCCCTGTTATCATGTTTGCAACCCCTTTCCTCAGAGTCTTGTGCCCCTGGACTCGGCAGAAGCCAACAGCAGCCGGCAGACTTCTCCGAAATCCCCAGTCTGCCCTTTTGGTGAGCTCTGTACCCAAGAAGCCCCGTCTCTCTGCTTGCCCACCATGGTACAAAGGAAAAGGTGGAATGGATCTGAGCATCCATAATGAAGGACGGTCTTCATTTCTTCCTCCCTGTGTCTCTTCCCAGTTCCTCCCAACATCTCTGACCACCCCAGAGTCCATTCATTGCAGCCTTACCCTCCCCTCTGCCCTGCAGCTCGAACCCCTAATGAGCAGTGTTCACTGGGATGTGCTGCCCTTTGTGGGTCAGTGCCTGGTCTGGAGGGGAAATGCCTGACCCAGAAATGTACCCACCTCATATTGCTTTGGACACCAATAGCTCATCGGTTAACATCTCCTGGCCCAAGGTATGGTCCCTTGTTCCCGACTCAGAACCCTTGGCTTCCTCCTGGGGAAACCTTGGGCGCAGGTTTCCCATCCAAAGAGGACTGAGGGGCCATTAAGCCACCCTGCAGGCAGTTGTTCTGCAGGAATGTCAAGGGGCAAGAGGTTAGACAAGCTTTTGGGCACAAAGTACCCTTCCTCTGGTCTGGAAAAGAAGAAGATGCAGCTTGAACTTAATACCAAACACCAGATGAAACAATGTCCTGTCTATAACTCCACATGCAAATAAAGACGACCTGCTTGGAGGAGCGCTGTAAAATAGGAGGCAAGAGGCCTTATCAGGAGTAGCTTAAACACAAGCTTATGCAGTAGAAAGGAAACTTCGTAGAAGAGCAAGACCGTTCCGGAGGAAAAGGTCATTGCTACCTGTGGAATGAAGAGAGATGGACGGAGGTGCCGGGTACATAATAATGAGCCATAAATGATCTGGACACTGGTGTCAGAAGCGGACTGGCCAAGTTTGCTGATGACACCAAACTCTGGGGAAGAGTGTCCACACTTGAAGATAGGCTGGTGATCCAGGCCAACCTCAATAGGCTTGCCAGGGGGGCGGATGAAAACCTGATGGCATTCAATACGGAGAAATGCAAGGTGCTCCACCTCGGGAATAAAAACCCGCATCATGCTTATAGGCTCGGCGGTGTTACATTTGTTAGCACCGTGACCAAAAGGGACTTGGGGGTCATAATTGACCACAAGATGAACACAAGCCACCAGTGCGATACTGCAGCCAGCAAAGCGAACAAAACTCTGGCTTGCATCTACTGATGCATCTTGAGCAAGACCCAGGATGTCATCCTCCTGCTGCACTCGGCCTTGGTGAGGCCACAGCTGGAGTACTGCATCCAATTCTGGCCTCCACAGTTCAGGAAGGACGTGGAGAAGCTTGAGAGAGTCCAGAGGAGAGCCACGTGAATGATCAGAGGGTAAGACAGGGTGGGAAAAATGCGGCCCAGGGGCCAGATGTGGCCCGCCAGGCCATTGTATCAGGCTATTAATTTTAGAAAATTAATATTAATCTGCCCTGGGCTGCCTGTCATATGGCCCTCGATGGCTTGCCAAAACTCAGTAAGCGGCCCTCTGCCCAAAATAATTGCCCGCCCCTGGGGTAAGAGAACAGGCCTTATGAAGTGAGGCTGAGAGCCATGGGACTCTTCAGCCTGGGGAAGCACAGGCTGGTGGCAGCCTGTAAATACATCAGGATCTGGGGGAACACCTGTTCACCAGGGCAACCCAAGGCATGACAAGCTCCGTTTGTCACAAACTCCTGCAAGACCGTTTCAGGCTGGACATAAGGAAAAACTTCTTTACTGTCCAAGCCCCCAAGGCCTGGAACAGACTTCCCCCAGAGGTGGCACACGCACCTACTTTGGACACTTTTAAGAATCAGCTGGATGCCTATCTTGCTGGGATCCTTTGACCCCAGCTGATTTCCTGCCCCTGGGGCAGGGGGCTGGACTCGATGATCTCCTGAGGTCCCTTCCAGCCCTAATGTCTATAAAATCTATCAAATCTATGAAGTCACAGACAATGGCTTCCTGGCTCATTACAGCCTACCTGCTGTCTCTGCTAATCACCCAACGCATCCTTGCCTCTCACTTCGCGCGCTTTTACGCATGCTCCGGGAGTTGGGGGGTCGGGGTGGGATGCTTTAATTAGAGCACTCCTGGAGCTGCTCTAACTAAAGCGCCTGGAACGTCTCGTGTGTCACCCTCCCCACGCTTCAAAATGGGAGCGGAGGTGCTTTATCTAAAGCTTGTTGAACAAGGCTTCAGTAAAGTGCCCCGCGGCCGTGTTGAGGCGAAGGGATGCTGATCCATGAGATGCAGAGACTGCTGGAGCAAGGTAATTACCACGCTCCAATGCACTGGTGTTCCAGTGTGTCACAACGGCCTCTCGGCTGGTGTACAACAGCCTTCTGCTCTTGGACCGTGATGGCCATCACCACAATGCAAAAGTGTGTGACATTGGCTCCTCTTGCCATAGCAATAGAAACGATCCTCGCTCACCAGCCTGCTGTTCTGAAGTTTTGCAGGGTCCCTCTCAGGAGGCAGCAGGTGATACCACCCCCTCAACAGTCTCTGGGAGCGGCAGCATCGCTTGGGGACTCAGTGGACACGGGTGCAGTCCTGGCCTGGAGGATTTGGTGTCTCGCCTGCAGAGGAGCCTGTGTGGCCCCAACCAGCTCCGCTCATCAGGTACTTGTGTTCTTGTGTGCCACCGAGGAAGGCAGGGCCTGCGTGAAAGAGGAGAGTGCTTTTCCTCCTTGTCTCCCCATTCCTAACAGCAGCTTGTGGGAGGATAATAGGCGGTACCAGTCTTTGCCATCCAGTGGCACTGGGCAAGGGGGGGTGCTGTCTGTGCATAGTCCTGTTGGGAGACAGGGTTTTTTGGATAATGCCACTGATATCATGAGTGCAGAGATACTGAGAGATACACCACCGCTCAGGAGCTGGTTCTCATCGCTGACTGGAGCCCAGGACATTTCCTTCTCATGGGGAATGTCTCCGTGATTTTATTTAGAATAAAAACGTTATTTGAATGTCTCATCAAATAGAGTTTTCTAAAAGATATTAGTTCTGGAATTGGTCCAAAGGGGAAATGGTAAAATTTCATGATGAAATATTGAGATTTTGCACTGAAATTTTAGAATTTTTTTTCCATTTTTAGATAATCAATATAGTATTTGTATGGTCATTGAAAGCAGGGTCATAACAACAGTGTGCATTTTCACGATTCCCATCAGCATATTATCTGATGTAATAGTTGAAATACTTTATTGTTGTTAATTTATTTCTAATGTCCTTCGGTGCGGCTCCTGCCCATTCCCAGTTGAAATATCTGATCTGCTTTTCTAGATCAAAGTGCTTCCTTGTGAGACGGTTGACACTGGGCGAGGTTTTGTGCTCCCGAATCCCTCATGTTCTTTTGCAAACCTTGTGCTCCGTGAGCTGTTATATGGAAGGAGTTTGCCAGTGTTCAGTGTCATTAATGGGGCTTTCTGCTCACTTTTCCCTCAGGGGGCACCAGCTGCAGACTCTGCCCCATGAACTGGCTGCAGCACAATGGAAAGTGCTACTGGTTTTCTCAAGAGGCCCAGTCCTGGCACGAGAGCCATAAGGACTGTGCAGCGAAGAACTCGGAAATGCTGGTGGCCCCACACCTGGATGAGATGGTAAAATACAGCAGGGGAGGAGGGGCAAAGAGAAAGAGGGGAAGGGCTGAATTTCAAGGGCAGGGACTGGCCACTGGTTGCACCAAAAGGCCAGGATAGATGTGCACCTTATAGACTGACCGAAGTAGTTGCAGCGTCACAGATCTACAAGAGAGGCAGTATAATATATGCATTGTATAATGTGATGCGTTGCGTGCCTTGGAAATGTGATCTCAGGATCTAACAGAAGGGAACAACCCTGTGGAGTCCTGCTGCCTGTGACCCCGGACTACAAATCCCAGGGGCACTGGGAAGCAGGAAAAGCAAGTAACGAGCAGTCCTGCAGAGTCCTGCTGCTGTGATGCTGGAGTGCAAACCCCAGAAACCTGGGGGCAGGGAAGCAGGAGGAGGAAGCGAAACCACAGCTTATGCTGGTGATATGCCAGAGAGCCTGGGCTGGATGGAGAGAGCGAGCTGAAAATGAGTGGACTAGAGGCTGGTTCTTGGGGCAACCTCTGGAGGTAGGGAGGGGACTGCATGTACTGAATGTATGTACTCCAGGGGTGCTGAGCACTACCTGTTTAGTGGCCCTTTAAGTGTATGTTGTTATACCTTGAATGTCTATTTACCTGTTTTTGTCCCTTGCCCATGGCCTGTCGGCCAGTGACCCTAATCCCTAGGATGTTCTATATGAAAGTGAGTAAACCCCTTGTTGGCTTTGGAGATTGTGCCTGATGCCGCAGGGGTTTGCTACAACTGGTGGCAGTGGTGGAACTGGCGGTCACAGGTCATAAAGTGCCGGGCAAACTGTTGTAGTGAGTGCATAGTTTTGTCATTGTGTGGGCTTTGGGCAGGGGAGATGGATGCTTCAGGGGAAGGAGCACCCCCACGAGAAGCGAAAACACACAAGCCCCATCTCATGGTCAAAGTTTTATATTCAATCCTGCACCCTATAGTGGGGAACAACAGGAGTGTGGTATCTGGCATCCACAATTCAAACTGGCAGCTAAGGTAAATGGATGGCATGAGGTTGGCAAGCTAGACTTACTAGGCCTACTGCTCACAGGGAAGCAGGATTACAAAAGCCTATTAGGGGCCCTCAGGAGAGCTTTTGAACCAACCTCCAGTCCAGAGTCACTCTGTACTGGTCTCTAGGACAGCGGTTACACGCAGTTGGTCTGCGGTTCATCTCCGCTGTGCAGAGGCTTCCCTCCCTCTCCATTCATTCCCAGCTCTCCCTCTCCAGCCAACCCAGGCTCTCTTGCACATAGGCAGTCTGGGCTGTGTGTTTGCTTCCTTCCCCTGCTGCCCCCGAGGTCTCTGAGATTAGCAGTCCAGATTCATGGCAGCAGGACTCTGCAGGGTTGCTCATCACTTCCTCTTCCTGCTTCCAGGTGCCTCTGGTGATTTGTGCTCCACCTTCACAGCCAGCAGGACTCCACAGGGTCGTTCCCCTTCTGTTACACACTCACATCACATTTCCCGTACACACAATGCATCACATTACACGGCACATACATTGCAGCAGGAAACCCTCCCCATGGGCTACGGCAGTAATATAAAGAGGTTGCAACCAGCCCTGCCCAAAGAGAGGAAAAAGTAC